CCTACCTTCCCTCGACCTGTCTTCGGCGCCTCTCTGCGAAATCAGTTTCAGCATATTCTGAGGGGTCCACACACGAACTCCATATCAACACACACGTGCAAGCTACGTACGTGCAGGCGCGCTGGAGCCGAGCACCGAGACACGAGGGTAGCATTGTTAGGATCCTGCCAAGCCCGGTGGGCTGCGATGTGGCTCGCGGGGTGGACTTTGCTTGGTTCCTAAAGGCTCCGTGTCGGACAAGCACTCGCCCGTGTACTGACCCGAATGGGTAAGGCAGTCTCCCTCTTTTTCCAATCCTGTGCTCAAAAATGAATTGCAAGACACCCAAGTTCCCCGTCCCGTAGACGCACAAATGAAACATTTAGAAAGAATGGACCACCCATTATCATTCTGGCTAGAACATTACAAATGCTGTGAGAAGGTTATCTTTTTCAGTGAGTAATTCTAGATCTAATCAGAGGAGATCCCTTAAGCTATGAGGCTTTAAAAAGTCTTTGGGCGGGAGGGGGTGGGGACCACAGAGATAAAAAGCACACACGGATGTCATACATTGTCCTGTAATAACCTTGCCTGCAAGGAGTTTAAAAGGGAAACCCTACTCGCCAAAATTGCTTGGCCCTGTTCTCATAGGATATATGTGCCTGAGAAATCATTGGAGACTCCCCTAGAAATCTGGTATTCTTAAATTATCCTTCTGTTTACAGAACTGACCTCTAAGAACTTAGAAATGAATGGCATTGAGTGGGCCTTTGAAGTACACCAGACAAACACGGTCTTTCAAACTGTTAATAGCCCTGGCACTGATAGCCCAATCTCCGAGAGTATTGTTTGGGTGTTTTGTTGTTTGTTTTTGTTTCTGGCTTTCCCACACACACACTTCAAAGATCATGAGATATCAGAATTCATTCAACTAATAAAATAAGGTAAGACTGGGAAGCAAGATGGCTCAGCAGGTAACGGCACTCACCATCCTACAGTCCAAGTTCAGTCACAAGAACCTACCTATACGGTGGAATGAGACAAATGCCATTAAAATTAGACAGAAGGAAATGACACCATATAGGACTGGGATGATGGGCTGGGAACCACCTGTTTAAGTGAACCACCTTTTTAAAAAGGTTTTATTTTAGTTATAGAGGAATGCCTATTTCTCTATTTTTATGTATTTTACAGAGGTTACTCGAGTATGACCTCCCTCAGTGTGTGTGTGTGTGTGTGTGTGTGTGTGTGTGTGTATCATAACCTTTTAAGAAAGAAAAGGACTGTATAATCCCCACCACCACCCCAGTTATACTGAATAGAAATCGCTTCTTTTTAATGTACACCTCTCTTAGGTATCATGTCCCTGAGATTTCCTGTTCCTTTGCTCTGGTTTCCCTGCCCAGCAGCATCATCAACTGCATTTGCCTGTCAGTGGCCTGAACATGAGCCTGGGTCGGAAGGCAGGTAACTAGAGGTTGGGAGAAGGGCTGGAAGACCAGATGAGTCACATTGTTTCCATGCAGCCTATGACGTCCTCTGGATTTGTGTACTGGATTGAGAAGAAGGCAAGTTTGAGATTCTGAGAGGAGAAATTGGGAACTGGAGAAATGATGGACTGAGGTATGATTTGCATCCATCCAGATGTGCCTCACAGATCCCCACACAGCCCTCATCTTCCTTGACCCCAACCAATAGACTCTATGCCTCATAATATCCAGTCAGTAGATGACTTTTTCACATTCTACTTAGAGAAAAGTTAGAGAAATACAGAAGACAGAGACTATTCAAGGAATTAAAAGTGAAAATTTTGCCTGTCAAGGAATTACATTCTTACCTTATATTCTTTTTTTAAATAAAGTTCAAATGACTTAAGTCATATAAAAACCGAAATATTTTCCAAAGCAAGGAAAAACATAGAGGTGAATATTTGTGAGATTCTTGAGTGGAGAAAAAAATATCCAAAATTCTCCAGGAATGGATTGGGATGTGTTGTGTGAAAGAAAGTCACACGCACAACTAGACTAAGAAATTTGACTCTATAAAAGTGTATAAAGTCATCAAAGAGATGTGGCCTCTAAAATATGTCCATGAGAAGTCCCTCCCTATGCGCCTTCTCCTGGTTTCTTTCATAGTAAAGTTCAGTATACGTGTCCTGGGATTCAAGAAGAGTCATTCACTGTCACAGACAGGTGAAGCCTCTTGTGACATTCTGAGAGTTCTTGGCTTGCCAACTGCTGAGTGTAGTAATAGTTCAGCCCCCCTGCCCCTGAAGTGCAGTGTTTTCTGTTTTGCTTTTACTCTTATTCTTGGTTTTATATCTCTGTGTTGCATTAAGGATGAATGACATAAAAACCGAGTCATATAGATATCCCTCCTCCAAAAGCGTGACTTACAGTGTAGAGCCCCAGGAACACAGAAAAAAAGAACATCATAGAGAAATCAGTGAACAGAAAGCATAGGTTGTGGTAAGGTTACTAATGGAAAATGTCATTCTCCACAAGGAAACTTTCCTGGAGATCAGTCTAATGAGATCTTCCCCGTGTCTTTCTCCAGACCACAGGCTGGTTTCTCATGCTACATCTACACACATCTAAGTACACAGTACCTGTTAGATGAAAAATACTGCAGGGAAAGTTGGTAGTCTCATTTGAAAGCAAAATGCTGTTAAGATATAGTTTTAATAACATAATACCTGTGGCTCTATCATTTAGGTATTATACTTTATTTCTTTGGTGTGTGTGTATGTATGTGTGTGTGTGTGAATGCATGCAGCATAAGTGTGAGAAGGTGTGCTGACTCATGCCGGGCAGAGATTGACTTCAGATTGTCTTACTCAATTGCTTCTCCACCATGCGTTTTGAGACAGAAACTGTCTCACACTTGGAGTTTACTTTCAGCTAGGTAGGCTGACCATTAGCCCCTGGGAGCCATGGCTCTGCCCCCCCCAGTCCTGGACTTAGAGACACGTGCTGCTACATTGAGTTGTTACCTGGGAGCTGGGGATCTGAACTCAGGTCCTCATTGCTTGTACAGAGAGCACTTCACCCACAGAGCCATCTTCACTGCCTATAGTTTTTCTTAATGCATAGGAATTAAAATTCCATGGCGAATGGAATTTGTTCTGTGTAAGTATACTGTGACTATTATTTCTACAATTGTAGTTAGGGATCGTCAATCAACTAAGGACTGTTAAATACATAACACCAGGCAAGTTGTGTTAGAGTCAAAAAGACAAGACACTTGGGGACACAGGTTGCTCCCTGAATGTCTCAGGTATATTTCCAAATCCTTATGGTTCCTTTCCTGTCTAGCAGTCAGGTCCAAGAGCAGATTTCTGATGCTCTAACTCCAAGCTAATTGCTATAGGAGAAGAGCTCAAACCATTCCAACCCTTATGCACACCTTTAGGGATGCCTGTCAAAACTCCACTCTCAGCATGCATCACCTTGGCCTCGTTATGTAACCTTTGGCAAGTAACAACATCTCCCCATGTCAACTCCCTCTGTAATTGAAGGAGGGTTGCTAATTGCATGTTATGTTCCCATTAGCACAGACTTTTATGAACTTCGGGGTTCCACAATCCCTGGTCCTTCAGCTCCTACTGTCTGCTCTGATTGGTAGTGATGGTGGTGATGGTGTGTAAGTGGATGTGGGTGTGGGTATTGGATCACATGTATGAACTAAGGTACATGTAGAAGCCAGCACTCAATCTTGGGTGCCATTCTTCAGGCAGAGTACAATTGTTTTGTTTTGTTTTGTTTTTAAGACAGTGTCTCTCACTGGCCTGGAACACAACAAGTAGACTCTGCTGGCTGGCCAGCAAGCCCCAGGCATCTGCCTGTCTCTCCCTCCCCAGAGCTGTGATTGCAAACTTGTGCCACCATATTTATTTTTTTACATTAGTTCTGGGGCTCAAACTCATATCCTCGTGCTTATATGGCAAGCACTTTACCAACGGAGCAATCGCCAGCCATCTGCTCTGTTCCGCTAGACTCTCCTGAGGTCCTTAGTAACATGTTCTTCTCTGGAGTAGTCACGTGTTCTGTGCACTCTTACTTCTTTCTCCCCCTTTTCTGTGTTGTTGCTGGAGTCAAAAACTCCCATCATATGTGATGTGCCTCACCCTCTGCACCAGTGCTGTGGGGCTGGCCTTTCTGTGTTGTCACCTGGTGGTGCTCATGCAGAGACTCAGTCTTTGTTTTCCAACTCCCCGCTGTTGTTCCCTTCCTGTCAAACAGCCAGATCTAGAAGAGATTTCATGTGGCTGTCACAGCCACATCCCAGGAAACTCTTCTCTTCACTTTACAAAAGAGGAAGACATACTTCAAAGACTTCTCAAGGTAGACAATAGGCAGAATGTCTTTACTTTAGGTGTCCAAAATGTTGAGTCACCAAAGTCTCTCAGAGAGTCCTCAAGGAGAGAGCCTGTCAGGGCTTGGGGAGATGACTCCACTGGTAGAGTGAATGGCATGCAAGCAAGAGGACTTGAGATTAGAGTCCTAGGGTCCACGTAAATGTCTGGTGTGGTGGTGTGCCTTTGTAATCCCACAGTGAGGAGACTGAGACAAGAAGACCCTGGGAGCTCACCAGCCAGCCAGTCTACCCAATCAATGAGAGAGCCCTGTGAAGAGACAAATCAAAAGGAGGATGGTAGAGGAGGCTGCCTCGACCTCGATTTCTGGCTTCCACACTCACCTACACAAACCCACACACTACACACACACACATACAGAGAGAAAGAGAGAGAGAGAGAGAGAGAGAGAGAGAGAGAGAGAGAGAGAGAGAGAGAATGAATGAAGCCTGAAAATTTGCCAGTCAATCCTTGCTCTTAGCACTCCGTTCGCAGAAAACAGCTTCCTGCCTGTGCTCTTTGGATGATTCTTTGGGCATCATGTTAGAAAAAAAGTCCTGGGTTTGCACCTTCTAGGATGATCTTTCCACAAGGAGAGTCTGGTTTTCATATCTGACTCAGCTAGGTCACAGGTGGTGATTACCAGGAAGACAGGACAGTCCTGCCTTACTGGGCACATCTTCCTGCAACTTTCCATCATGGGCCGCCTCCCTTCAGCTCTTAGGCCCACATCCCTCTGACACTGGGCTCTGTTTAAGGGACACCTATCTGTCCCCCATGCTTTTATCATGCTGTCTATGTTGTATGCTCTTCTACATTTTCTTTGACCTCTTTTCAGGATATCATTTCATCATCGTTTCAAAGCTGAGGAGGAGAAAAGTTGGCAGTCTGACTGTTCCTTTAAGAAGAACTGTATGTAGTGAGTGGGCGTTAAAATCAAAGATACCTAAGCTGGGGAGGTGACTGAGTGGTTCAGAGTGTGCACTGGTGTTCCAGAGAACCCAAGTTCA